CACTTTGAGAAGGAAACGGCTAGGCCAAGTGATAACTCCCTTACATCCTTCTGACCGCTCCCATTTTATTGCATTGTTCATTTCAAGTACCCGATACATGTGGTGAGTGGCTACTGTACTAGGCAGTGCAGACAGAACACTTCCATTACCATAGAAAGTTCTATTGAGTAATACTGTAATCCAGAATTCCACTCACCAATTCTAAAATAACGACAAAACAGAAATACTAACAGTAAGAGTAAAAAAAAGAGCATAATGATGCAATGCTATTTAGCACCAAAAGTAATGAATTGCTGACACATGCTATAACATGAAAGAACCTTAAAATCATGTTAAATGGAAGAAGCCAGTCATAAAAGACTATATATTATGTGATTCTATTTACATATGTCCAGAAAAGAAATATTTGAGAGATAAAAAGCAGCTCTGGGTTGTTTAGGGCTGGTGATGTAGGAAGAAAGTAACTGCAACCAGGCACCAGGTATCTTTTGGGGTGATAGAAATATTCTAAAACTGAACTATGGTGATGGTTGCAAAACTCTATACATTTACTAAAAGTGATTAGATTGTGCAATTAAAACAGGTGAATGTTATGTTGTGTAAATTATACCGAAATAAAGCTGTGTGAAAATAGAAGTGTACTGAAAAAATGTTGGTATTTGTGAATAGCTGTTTCAAAAAATTTCCATTTTAGCACCCAAACACGTTATAAAAATACCCCAAAATAATAGAAATCAAAGCCTCTTCTACAGTAGATGCCAGAAACCCATATAACTTCTAGTGGTACCTAGTGATAACACATCAGTAAGAAAATCCTTCAAGACAGTTTTACTTCTGAGTTTTACATACGATCTTATAGTCTACGACTTACATAAACCTACTTGAAATAGTAAAAATTCCCTGTCACATGACCGAGGGAATGCCCACATAAAATGCTGCAGCAGCAACCCTCACTGAAGAAGGCCACTCGTACTTCAGGCCCCGCGTGACTGCGTACTCCACACCCAGCGGTCTCAGCCGGGCTGCCTTCCAGTGTTCCATGACGTGCTCTGAACTATCTCCAGAAACAATGCTTTTCATACACGCAAATATTCTCTCACCAAAGGGGCAACAAGAATATTTTCTTCCTTTCGAAACATTTTAACCAATTTGACCATCCACATGATGAAAAGTAAACTATATCCACTTTAATGAAACTGAAACTATCAGAAGCACGCTTCCCACCCCAACAGCTCAATGCACCTTTCAAGAGACACCGTGTGTTACCTAGCACTTCTGAAGTGCTACCAGTTTCTCTACTAGTTTATGATGCATATTCTTTACTTACTCCTCGGACTAAAACTAAATATTCTAATACTCATCATAAAACTACTTTTCAAACATTCATTAGATCAACCAAGACAGAAATAATTTATATGCGATATTACTGCATGTTTCTGTGACTTAAAAAAAAATGAAATTAAGTAATCAGAATTCTAAACTCAGGAATATACCGTAGATCTCATCTAGTTCAACTCATCCCCAGACAGCGCATGGCAGAGTGGGACCCAAAGGACAAACCTGAGTCCTAGGCCAGCGTTCCTTTCATTGCCCAACTGCCCTGACTTACAACACATGCGCACACACAACTTCAGTGACAGTAGCTGGGAATAAGTCTCAGGTTTTCAAGAAACGTTAAAGTACAACTGAACCTTTAATAACCATTAAAAGTTATTAGATTAGCCTTTGCTTCAAAAAAAATAAAATTAGATTCACAATTAAATACATTATTCTTTTTCATGAAAAAAAAAATCTCAATCCTCTTAATGTCTGAATGTCTAAACTCGTGGTTTTATAATGGTGATCATACATTGATAAGATCTCAAGACATATTTTAAAAACATAGCTAATATGAGAAAAAGGTAAACGAGAAAAAACGTTTGTGTCAGAACATAAATTATTTTAATACAGAATGACCAAACCAAGTTATTATAAATATGTGAAGTACTAAAAACAGGCCTGGCAGGTTTGGCTCAGCAGTCAGAGCGTCAGCCCACAGACCAAAGAGTCGTAGGTTCCATTCCGGTCAAGGGCATGGACCTCGGTGGCAGTTCATCCCTGGCCGTGATTGGGTGGTGCAGGACGCAGCCAATTGGTGTGTCCCTGTCACATTGATGTCTCTCTCTCCCTCCCTCCCTCCCTCTCTCCCACTCTGTCTGAAAAAAACAAAAACAAAAACCACATACAGTACTTAGACATATATAGTCATACCCATGGGTACAGTACATGTCAATAAAAAGTAAATTACAGTTGGCCCTCATTTATCGAGATTAATCAGTTCCAGACTCTACCGCGATAAATGAATTTCCCGGAGAGGGATTCTTTATTTATACATAGTCGTCCCTCGCCACTTCGCGCTTCGACTGTTGCAGCTCCACTCTATCGCGGTTTTTTCAAATACAGTATAGTATTTCAAATACAGTATGGTATTTCAAATACAGTATAGTATTTCAAATACAGCATGGTATTTCAAATACAGTATGGTATTTCAAATACAGTATAGTATTTCAAATACAGTATGGTATTTGAAAAAACCGCGATAGAGTGAAGCTGCGACAGTCGAAGCGCGAAGTGGTGGGGGACAGCTGTATGCTCAATTAAATCACAAGTTGATGAACTTAAAAAAACAGGTTGAAACAAAGGTTGAGACTGATCTCAACTATGTGTAGTGTATTAGCAAACGAACTCCTCCTCAGTTAACAGGACACAAAATTTAAAGAGCAACCTTCAGGGAAATGTGCTCCATGGGCTTAAAGAACATCATATCCTGTCCTACATAAAAATAGCACATTGCAATCAAAAGGAAAAAAGAACAGAATGATGAGGCCATTTGTCTCCCGGCTTTTCATCATACTCTCCATATTCTAATGGGTGTGAATAACTTATCAGATTGCCAGTGAGCCAGAAGTGTGAGAGATAAATGTGGTCCGAAGAACCCTCTCATCTACTTGCCTTTCAGTTCTTAAAGTGTGAAAAAATTTAATCTTTTATAATAACCCTGAAAGGCTGTTCTGTGTCTGAATTATTAATTAATGACACCAACATTCTATCATACTTAATATGGAAATAGCCAAAGCCCAGCAATTTATCAAGAAAAAATAAGTTAAAAATAAAATCCAATTAATTAAATTATTTATAAAGGTAAAACTTTCTTAGATACTGGTAATTATTTTAAAAGATGGCAACAGCCACACAGAGCCAAATACTAGATGTGCTTCCTAATGAAGCTGTTTCCTAATGGCTGTTTCAATGATATGACTTACCTTTCTCAAATTCTAGAAAATTCTCTGCCATTTTTTCTTTGAACATTACCTCTTCCTCATTCCCTCTTTTTTCTCCTTCTGGAATTCCTCCTTTTGGATTACTGATTGATTCTCATTTTATTCTTCATGTCTCAACTTCTCTTTCATATTTTCTACTTCATTATCTCTCTGAGCTATATACAAGCTAATTTTTTCAGGTTGGTCTTTAGTTCACAAATTCTTTGGTCAGTCATGTTTAACCACACTTTAACCCAACCTTCAGTTTTTGTTTAATTTTAGAGACAATATTTTCTTTCCTAAAAATTCTCTGTCCTTTTCAAATCTGCCTCATCTTCTTAGATAGTGTTTGTCTTTTTTTATATTTTAAATTCTTTCTCTTCGATGTTTAATCATTTCAAACATACATTTTTATGGATCTAGTAATTCCAAATAATGGAAGCTCTTGGGAGTCTAGTTCCGTTGCTTATTATGTCTAAGGGCTTTGGCCAGACAGAACTCCCAGAAGCTGAATTGCCTGGAAGTCGACAAATTCTCTTCTCCAGGGTTTACTCTGTTTTGCAGTTCCTCCAGAAATGGGGAAGAGCCTGCTTCCTCCGTTCCCTCCACAGCTTCATCAACTGAATAGCTTGTCAAACTTTCTCATTTCTGTCACTATGTTTGGTAAGAAATGCTATCTCAGCGTAGCATTAGTTTGCTCATTTCTTATGAGTATGAGATTAAGTTTATTTTCATATGTTTAAAGGCAATTTGCAATTCTTTTTCTGAAAACCATATGTTCATATATCTTTCCTGTTTTCCCACTGAGTTAATAGTTTTCTTATTCTCTAAATTTTGGGGATATTAACCCTTTGTGATAAAAATTGAAAGTATCTTTCTCCAATTTGTCACTTGTTTTTTACTTACTGTATTTTCAGCTGTATAAAAGTTATGACTTTTATTGTCAAATTTATAAACATTTCCCTTATCACATTTGGAATCTGGGCTGTAGTTAGGCTGTTTGGTTCATGTCCAGGTTCAGAGGAATTCACCATTTTTCCCTAGTACTTGTATAGTTTCATTTTTGTACACTAGTTCATTTTTAATTTTTCTTTGGCATAGTAAGAAGACTAAATCTAATATTATTTTCCCTCATTATGCACGAAGTACCCATGTGCAACTGTTTATTTCCTCATTTTCTATTCAGTTCTATTAGTCTGTCTTTTTTTGTACCAATACCATAGTTTTAATTATGCGGGTTTAACAGTAAGTTTCAATATCTAGTAGGGAAACAGTCCTCTTCCACTGCTCTTCTTTCAAGAGTTTTCCTTATTTTCTTTCCTTATTTGTTCTTTCCAATGAAAGTTATAATCAACTTTCCCAGTTCCAGAAAACACACACGCACATACACACACACAAAATCATCATAAAGCTATAAATTAACTTAAGGGACTGACAAATGTATGATGTTGAAAGTAAAAGTATAATAACTAAAACTTGGGGGAAAAAACACCTTAAAATATTTTGCCATTTTCTGCTTGTGGAAAGCTCCAGGCTGAACCCAGAAAACTTTTGCTACATTACCAGGGAAAATTTTTATTTAAACAAACTTAGATTAACCAGCAGAGGAACTCAATTTATTTCATTTATCATGTATTGTGTAATACAACTGATTTTTAAAATGATCGAATAACACAAGGCATCAGTAATGCACTGGCTCACCTTCCTTCTTCAGCCATTTCACAATGTTACCTTCTTCCATCGTCGGGGACAAGGATGGCATTAGTATTTTAATAGGATCAACTGAAATTGAAAAAAGGAAAGATTAGCCACAAAAGAAATAATGCACCTCACAGGACAAAGCATCAATAAAAAGTTCAAGTAAATTACGTAGTGCCAAATTCAATTTGAAAAATAAAATATTCCAAAGTTGGAAAGACTCCCAACTGGTCAAACTAAGTATCCAGGAAATAGTATGAAAACATGAAGTTCTTCACTTTTAAAAAAATAACCCATTCATTCCTCAGATTATTCAACAATATGACCCCAAAAAGCAAAACACCACTGCATAGCTAACATATTTCAAATGTGGAAAAGAACAGAAAGGGTTTTCTTTTTTTTCCACTGATATTTTAGGGTTAAAAGCAAGGGTACTGAACAATCATATTAAATGAGGTTAGTTATTTCCTTTGGGAATTAAGCTAATTTTAGCGTAATTTCAAATGAAGCACTCCTGTGGCTTCATGACAAAGGAACTCCGCCTGGGAAGCATTTGGAAGGAAGCTTCTGTCCTCTTTCCGTTTTTCATTCTTTCCTCCCTAAAGGACTAGGAAGAGGACAAGGGCCTCAGCCTTGTCCTCCTTTTCTTTAAGAACTGCCTACTGTCGGTACCTGCAGCTTCCTCTGAGCCAGCTCTTCCACGTGCTGGAGCAAATGGAGCTGCCTTTCAAGGGCAGATTGCAAGCCACCTCTCTCAGTGCCTCCCACGGGGACCCCATGGATGGGAGAACGCAATTCAGGTGTGTGTGTTTGCTTTGTCTACAAAAACTTTCCCCTCAAACAAAAGCCCAAAGTCTAAACACGGGGTTGTACTGGGAAGTCCAACTACAGAAGGCCACATTCTCCAATCTAATAAAACCATCAGCTTTAAGACTGTTACTTTTTATTTCTATGAGGTTTTTTTGCCTCTCTCTCAATTGGTACCAAATTCTAAGAACAGAAAATAATTATCATTCCTAATATTACAATAATAGAGCCCCAACCAAACTCCAAATAAACACACCCATTTCATCAACTACAGTCTGGACTGATTGAGGGATTTGAATTCTGCCTAACTCTCAAGGCTGTTCTCTATTACATTGTACTACCATTACAAGTAAGGATCATGGACTCACCACTGGTTGTTTATAGCCTATTCACCCAGAAATTCACACATAACAAACCAGACATACCAAGTCCATGTGAGCATTCTTCTTATGTCCAATCAAATATTCTAATAATCATTTTCCCTACCTTGGGCATAAAGAATTCCTGTACTAAGAAACCACTTTTACTGACAATATTTTTTTAAATATGTTTTCACTGATTTTTTAGAGAGAGAGGAAAGGAGAGATAGAAACATCGATATGAGAGAGAAACATCAATTGGCTGTCTCCTGCATGCCCCTTTACTGGGGATCGAGCCCGAAACCTAGGCATGTGCTCTAACTGGGAATTGAACCAGGACCTCTCAGTCCATGGGATGATGCTCAATCCACTGAGCCACACCAGCTGGGCCTGACAATATTTTTAATTTGGAAGAGAAAAGGCAACCTTTAAGTACATTGTATTTTGGAAATAAGGGAGAAAAAAGCCATATGAGTTCCCTAGCTCCTGATAATAATATTATTCAATAATATTATGAAAGGACACAGTTATCTTAAAAGAAACTGGAGAACCCGTGTACTGCATCTCAATAACCTTCACTGTAAGTTTCATTTGATTTCCAAGCAACTTCTAGTTGAAAAGCAAATTATGTCTAGAATATAGCTGTTAAAAGTCTCAGATTTTTCTTAGTAAAATAAGTCCTCATGGACTAAAATAGGCACTAAATAGGCACTAAAATTCAGATATTAAATAAGTACAAAATAATGCAGAATACTATGTACAAACTCAGGGCATTGTTGTCTATAAAATACTGAAGCACTAAATTCTTCAGTGAAGTGAATTAGAATTAGGGAAGGTGCACTTAGGGAAACACACACACACACACACACACACACACACACACAGAGGCAGACTTATATTGTAACATTAGTGATGTATTTCCAAATCCAAACCATAACAAGCCTACACTTAATTGCAAGAATTCTTTAAAAGTACTCAAAGCATTATACAGTCAATACATTAGAAAATAATAAAATGAGCTTTCTGATCCCCTACATTATTTATGTATATATCACTTTTTTCACTTTTTTACATGGCTTGCTTAAAAAAAAACAAAACATGAAATATTTGCCTAAAGAATGCACAGCCAGCCTAAGCCTGAGCATTTTTTTTTTTTTTTTGATCCTCACCCAAGGACATTTTTCAACTTTTTGTTCAGATAGAGTGGGAAGGAGAGAGGACGAGAGAGAGAGAGAAACATCTACGTGAAAGGGACACATCAGGTGGCTGCCACCCGCACGACCCAACCAGGGCCAGGGACAAACTGCAACCAAGGTACGTGCCCTTAGCGGGAACCAAACCTGGGTCTCTCTGGACCACAGGCTGACGCTCCAACTGCTGAGCCAAACCGGCCAGGGCTGAGCATTTAATTTTTTAAAGCTTACTGTGATGAACTGAGTTTTGGAAAAAAAACACAAAAACAGAACCCTACAACCTAAGAGCACCATGACAAGAAGCCAGCCTCTCCTTGGAAAACACAGCTTAAAAGAAATTCCAATTTGTTTCTTCTAACAAAAAGGTCAAGGTTGGCATTATAAGATAGAATATTTCATATGCACACACATATTAAATTTATATCAAATGGAGTTCCACTTCAATGATTCTACGTCCAGATTCCAATTTATGACAAATACTAAATCAATTCTCTCAAAACAAAGTCTGTCTTCAATATTTTTACATCTTGGTTCTAGTTGCCATGATACAATTCATATTTATTTTATGATTCTGCCATTATAATCTCTCACCTAACAGACCTTCCCATTTCCATTATTCCTGACATTAGGACTATATTATAAAACTTTTAAATTTATTATTATTTTCCAAATTACCACATCAAAAGCCTCAAAATTGTTCATAATTTAAAAATAAAGAGAATGTAATAATTCCTTATACAGCCACCCTTCATGGATAAATTGAAATTGCTTCTCTGAATAATGAAATAAAATATAAAAACTGTGTAATAGATCACTATCCTTACACTGAAACGAAGGTGACAAAAAACAAAGACAGACATTTTGGACATCTCCATTATTCAGTACTATCTTTCTATTGATTATACTGGCTTACTATGGAAAGTAAAATATGCAATGTACCTTCTGATTAATCTAACCAATCGATCCTCAAACTGTCATGCTGGAAAATGATTTCAAACATAAGCATTAATTTACTAATAATGGTACATATTTCATTCTAATATATCCTCTCTCAACTGGAACATCATACACATCTTTTTTAAATGTATTTTTCCTTGGAAAAGTAATTATACAAGCATAATATCAGCTTTGAGTGACAGGGCTGCACATAATTAATATCCGCCCTTTAGGGTGGCCATAAATTCCCCTGAGATAGTGTGGGTTTTTCTAGACTCCTCCGACTTTTAACTTATATCTAATATTGTTTAATTTCACAAGAAATTGAATATAGTTTCCCTTTTTTATTCCAGTAAGCAGCACATTCTACCTTTCTTCTGTCAAATTGAGGAGGCCTTGAAATGTGCACCCGTTATATTTCCTACAAACAACTGGGCACATCTATGGGTAAGAATAAAGGAAATGTGCCCCCTCCCCCCACCACTGGTCATACGGGTTACTTAAATCAATAAAAATGCCACAATTAGTAAAAAATACCCAATTTTTTAGTCAGAATTGAATCCCTTTGAAGTAATTTCGTTGTTCTACTCCATTCTATCAAGCTAACAAACTAATGGCTTATAAAGTCTGTCCTTCTGTGGCAGTTTAAAAAATATTTAAGATGAGTATGGTATTGTACAGTTCTAGTTTATATGTAAACATGTTGATTTTTAAAAGCAGAATCTCATAAATCATTCAAACTGTCTTAATCTTTTTTTTCTTCAACAGAATGACACAATAAAATTTTTTGCTTAGCACATTGCTGCGTTACCTGCCGCACTGGGCACAAGAGCAATCTATCAATCCTGAATTTTACAGCAGTTTCTCTAAGCAACTCTTACACTTCCTCAAATTTGCTCTTTCAGTCTTTCTACAGCATAATTATGTCTTCACATCAAATACAGTACACTAATCTAATTCTAGTTTCTTATTCCCTAAAGTATTTCTTTTGCCCTAAGAGCAAAACACTCATACTTCATGGAAATCAACTATATCAAAGCTTTAAATCGATTATCTGTATATCAGTTCTAAAAGTTCTCAAGATTTAAAAAAAAAGATAATATAAGCAGACAACATACAAATGCAGATCAAATTGCTTTTATGCAGATCAAATGGCTAATAGGAAGCAGATCTCAGCTCCATTATGCTGACTAAAGAAATGAAGAAAATTCAGCAGTTTACATATGGTACAGCTCGAGAGTCATTCTAGTCCATTTACACTACTATAATCCAAACACAAAAATCATGAAATAAGATAGACCAAATGAAGAAGGAAATTACCCAGTACTTTCTTAGTGTGGCTCCCTGTTCCTCATATTAATTTGCTTCTTCTCTAATAGGGAGAGATGCCGCTCATTTAATCATCCCTCTTTTCAAGGCAAGAAGTCATTAAGTATAATTGGACCTTTATTCCATTCAAAGAAAACAATTCTGCCATCTTCAGGCTGAATAAAATAAAGCAGAATGAAGTGTATGGGTAATTTAAAAATCAACACCGGGGCAGAGAATAATATTAACACTGCAGTTTTGAATAAAGGCAGCCAAAGCAATTTTTTTTAAATGGGTACTTGTCATGTTAAGTCTTCTTTATTCAAATACTTATTGTGGTGCAGTATTGGTCTAAGAATACATTGAAAATATCAATGGATAACGACAGAAAATGTACACATAATAGTTTGTGTGAAAATAGCATTTATAAGTTCTAGCATAGTACAAAAACATATAAGTGATGCCCCAAACAGTGTATATA